AAAAAGGTTTGGCTTATGGAGAAACATAGAAATTCTTATAGATAATAAGTTTAGTGGGAGCAAAATTCAATTTTGTAAAGGTCCAACAAGAAGTTTACGAACTCTGTTGTGAAATGACTATCAAATGCTAAATGTTTAGATTTGAAAGTATTTTCGACAATGGACCAAGGTAAGGCGATAATTAGTACATAGTGGGAATTAAGATCTATTGGATAGACTTAATAAAATGTTTGAACGAGTAAATAAATTTACCGTGTTAAACATGAAGGACTTAAAAAGTTTTTGACCAATATGTATAAAACTAAGTAATTGTCTAAACTAAGTATAAGCTAGGAAAATACTAAGTCAAACAAGAAAGACTCTAGTAGAGACTTTCAACCGTATCATGTAGCAAACTGTTTAGCAAGACTTAATGAAACTGGATGAGCTAAATGTCGCATGAATGGGATGAAATTGGGAATATTTCAGCAATTGAATCCATCATGTATGCTACAATATGAAATCGTCACATGACCTGCATGCTTAGAGCATGACAAGTATAAAATACCAATAAACTTGAATCTAAGCAATGGATCTTTAGATTATGATCAAGAACATACAAAGTTCTTAATTAAGTAAAAGGATGAGTTCTTGATGCATGGAAACAAATATAATTTGAGTATTGGTGTTGCAAGCACAACCTCAGCAAGGATTAGATCCTTGATGAGGAAGCCATTTATAAGCACGAGGTTAAGGCGCATCGTGGCTTAAGAATGGCAACATGAACTTATGTCCATGTATATTGTGAGAAAATTTAAGGTAAATTTCTATAATCACAAATCATTAGGGTATCCAAATCATTGTGAGCTAGTTGAAGTAAAATCCAAGCAAAGCATCATTAGAAAATCTACTAAAGTATATGTTGAGAACATTGTTGCCTTAGAGGCAATGATAAGGATGTTAAATGGATAGCTTGTTGTTGAACTTTGATGATTGTAGGTTGTCAAGTTGAAGGTCTCAAATCACGAAAATGAGTGGGAGCCATCACTTGGGCAATAAATCCTATATCACATGTAATCCATAACACACTCAAATTTTATCATCTTATTATGAAAGTGTTCGATAATGAAGATGCTAAGATTTGCAAAGTAATGATAACTAAACCTATACAATAAGTGAACCACAACATTCACAATTTCATAAAAGAAATCAAGAATATTAGATATGGGCATGATTTTATAAATGTTTTGTTAAGAGTATTAGTCTGAAAACATTTGGGGAAAACCATTTATCATAAGATGAAACGTTGAAAAGTTTCATAGTGGAATAAAATTGCTTACTAATAATTCCACAAACTATTTAGTTGTGGTGTAGAATTAAATAATGAGTCCATTCGATTTGACGATATTCAAAATAGGGTATCAAGACAATGTCTTGGATAAAGTAACACCTATTAAGTGAACGTTGAATATCATATCGAAACTACCGGTAATCGAGGTCATTTGAAAGTTGGACGATTAATGACTGCGTGAGATTACTGTGTAGTATGATTTATATCACTGTTTCTTGTGCTACAAGGACAAGAATGTCATACATCATTTGCACAGATATAACTTTGGAACTGTACCGGATCGACCTATGAGAATACTTTAAGAGATTTAATAATTGTCATAAGTATATTAATCATTATGGCTATCGGAACCTCTTTCCTCAACCATGAGTATTGTAAGTTCTCTTGTTTGAGTACTAGTCCGTTTTGATGTTGTTAAACGTCTGCCGTACAAGGGAATTATAAAGGCAACACTCGGGTGGCTAGGGCCTCTTAGTAAGGGAAGCTAACAATTCAAGACTGAGAATGTCCCCCTATTAACAGTAGGGTACATGTCTTTGTTGTTTACAAGGCTTCTCGAAGAGCGAAACTATGAAAATGCATGGTCGTTCTCAGATGAATTTTAGAAATCATCTGCTTATTGACATTCGAACTCGGAAATCGAGAAACACTTCTGGACGTAATAAGATTGACGATGAATCTTACCTTATAGTTCATGAAGAGACATTAAGTGACATAGGAAACAGGCTATACACAATAAGCACACTTGTCCGGAAGGACAAGTGGAAGATTGAAAGGAATGGTGTCCTTCGAACAAGTGTATTATTCCGATAGAGGGTTCGAAATTAATTAGGAAAGCTAATTATTCAGTGAGGTCAAGTGATTGGAATGCCTAGCTTGAGGCCGCTTCTGATCAGTAATATTAATGTATAATTAATATGACAGCTTGATCTTCCCTGAACCCTTCGAGTCAGACCCAATCATGTTACCAAACCGAAGCGACGAATTAATCCGAAGGATTAAATGAGTCAATAGAGATTTTATGAACTAAGACGTCAAATTTCGAGCTTAGAGCGTCAAAAGTCAAGTCGAATTTAGGAATCGACTAGACGGAAAAATCAGTCAAACAACAAGTCAACGTACACGAAAATCCTAGCCTCGCAATGGCCTAGCCATACGAGAGCTAGGTAGGCTAGCATGGCTAGCCGAGGTTCATACCGTAAGGCCAGCACTAGCCACAAGCTGAGCTTGGTGCGCTCACGCAAAAGCTAGGATTTCTTGCCGAGTGCGTGGCACTAACACTAGGCCACCAACAGCCATGCAAGGTGCAGCATGCTAGGCAGCCTAATGCTGTCGCAAGCTCGCGCCGGCATGGCCTGCTAGTAGCACGCAGCAGCCCGCTAGCTAGCGAGGCTTGCTGGTGCTTGCGGGCAAGGCCGTTGGGCTTGCGGTAAGCCGGCCAGCAGCACATAGCAGCCCTGATAGCTAGCGGTGGGCTTGCAGTGCGTGCAGGCCGGCCCAGCCAAAGCCACAAAGGCCTTGACCATTCCTTGTTGCCTAAGGATATTGACCGGTCTTGCTTTATTGTGATTGGTGGGTTTGGTGGCTTGGGGAACAAGGAGGTCATGTGGGTTGTCCTTGTGGTCCTCACCTACTCCCTTACTCACCTTATGCCACTTGTTATTTGTTGATTGCCTTGCCATTTTTATATAAGGATAAATTGGATTTTAACACCACACAAATGCCTGAAAATGTTTTTTAACACCCCCCCAAAAAAAAAACTTTTATTTGAACACCACCAAAAATTTTAAAAATTGGAAGTTACCACCAGAATCTTGTCTCCGTTAACAGAATTGTTAGTGGTGCCTACTCCAACGGATATTTTTTTATAAACTCTGTATATGTGCACGATTTTTGCACGAATCTTCCCCAATTATCCCCTTTTGTAACGAAATCTTTCTTCGAATTGAGTAAAATCAGATTGCATTGCATATCAAAAACCATAACCAGTGAATCATTGTTTGATTTTTGAGAAGAGGAAGAAATTGAAGCTGCTGAAACAGGTATGTGTGTTCTTACGATGACAACGAATAATGTGTAATCAAATTTAGGATATATAGTTCGTTTGTTTGTTAATTAAAGTTTAAATTGATTACGTTTACTATTTACAATTATTTTGTACTGCAATTGATGGTTGGATTGTGTTATGTTTGTATGTAATTTCCCAATTACAAAATTAGGGTTCCTCACAAATTGAAATTGGGGCTTTTCGTATTAGGTGATTAAAATTGAAAATTGTTGCTGACAATGTTAATTCGTTAGTGTACAAATCTATAAATGTGATTGTTGATCTAAAATTGATGCAGATTATGTCGTTTATTAGCTCTTCCCCTTCTAAGGAAAAAAATGCCAGTGTGGTGTGCCAATGGCCAAGCTCACTAGCTAGACAAGGGAGAATCCAGGCAGGAAGTTTATATCATGTAAGTTTTATGACCCAATCACAGAAACAAGGGGCTGCAAAGCTTTCGAATGGGTTGATCAACCTGATGGAACAGATTTGCAAACAGGGGTTATCAACAACCTGTTGTTGGATAAGAAGCTGCTAAAGGGTGAAGTTAATGAATTGAAAAGGGAAGTTGATGAAATCAGTGGCCAAAGGAGGTGCCTACTTAATGAAGTTGATAGTTTGAAGATGAGATGCAAGGCCTTGCACGCTGACAGGAAGAGAATGAACAGGGAGGGCAATGCGAGGAAGATGTCTTCAATCAACTATTTTGGTTGGGTGGGCATGGCCATTTGTATTGGTTTGTCAATGGTTGTAGTTTTTCTAATGGTTAGGGGTGTTTAATAGTAAGTTGTATGTAGTATTTGATAATTTATTGTAATGACTTTGGTTTTAGTGTTATATATATGAAAAATTATGAGTGTTGTTGTAGTGATAAATATCCAATATATATGTATCTGACACAACCTCTTTATCTCTTGATTAAGCTCATAAATTGAAAATGTTTAAACTTGCACTTATGCACATATTAAGCACTTCATGAAAACTTCAAGTTGACAAAAGAAAACATTGCAAATCTACATTGAAAATGGATTAAAGTACTTCAAGTGCAGGTTGCCAAAAGAACCTTACTTGAACCTGTTTTAATGGAAATCAAAGCCATGAAAAAGCTACAATAATGTATCCAATTGTTTAAATGGCAATCAAGGCCATAACAGACACAATGTTATATTACACAGAGACAATGTTTTATAACCAATCAGGAGTACATCACTAGGTGAGGTTTAACTTGCTAAAGGTTTGCAGCTTGGACCTTGTAACAACACCTGTTTGGAGTGGTTGTTGAACTGTGAGTGGTGCAGGCTGACTTGAGGAAGGCTGCCTTGAGGAAGGTTGACTTGAGGAAGGCTGACTTGAGGTAGGTTGACTTGAGCTTGGCTGCCTGGACTGTGACTGTGTTTGCTTGCTTAATGGCAGGCAACCTTCTTGCTCTTGAGGAAACTTCTTGTTTGCTATGTTGTTTGGTCCTGCCCCAATTGCACTCTATGACATGGATGTAAAATAAAAAAGTCAGTGAAAAAACGTACATATATATAAAACCAAATGGGATTTGGTGTTATGATTGTGTCACCTTTTTTGTAGCCCTAACCTCTTTCTTCTTCCTCTCCTCCACTATCCAAGGAGTGTTCAAGGGGGTCTGCCTGCTGACTTTATCAGCTCTATTGCTGGTGCAGCAGGTCCTTTGCAGGTCTTGGCATAATGCCCAAATCCCCCACAATTGCTACGTTGCTTCTTCCTCTTTATTCTTGCTTGAACCCCTGCAGTAGAACATTCTCCTAGCTCAAGCTTCCTTTTTTTGTTCTTAGGTCTCCCAGGCTGCACCTTAACAGAAGGAGGTAGTGGTTCCCTTATTTTGACTCTCTCCCAGTGCTTGGGACCAGGCATTGGTTGGACAGCTGGTTTATAAGCATCCCTGTATGTGTCCATGGAATAGTATGGGTCAATATATGCCTCTATGTCACCCCTCACATCCAACATGCATGCATAAGCATGAACACAGGGAATGCTAGTAAGTTCCCAATGGTAACATGTGCAGGTCTCCTTATCCAAATAAACCAAGACTTGGTCATCCTTCAGCTGCACCTCAAAGGTATTCCCTCTTGATGGTTGCACCACACAGGACCTAGCCACAAAGTCTATCCTAGCCAGAACATGCCTCACATATGGCACTAAGTTGTGTGTAATTTCTTTTGAATCCTCCCATTTTTCATTATTCCTGTTCATTATATACCTTCTCATCCATTCCATTTGGGTGAGAATAGGTTTATCTATGGCATGCCTAATCACTGTATTGAAAGTCTCACACATGTTGTTCACCAACATGTTGGACTTGCAGTTTGGTGTAAATGCATGTCTACACCAATGACTGGTAGGAATGTTGGCTAAATAGTCATATGCCTCTTCATCAAGGAATTTGATAGACTCCATGGCAATTTTATGCTCAAACTGACAATATGCAATGACATACCAGTTCAGAACAACATGTATAAAAGCAGGACATTTATAACAGATACAGACAAATGCAGACAGAAGCATGAACCAATACTCAGACAATATAAGTAAACATGCAGACAAGACAAGTAACCGTGCATACCACTATTCAGGTAAAATGAAGCATATAAAAGCAGGACATTTACAACAGATGAAGACAAATGCAGACAGAAGCATGAACCAATATTCAGACAAGATAAGTAACTATGTATTTATTGTGGCACAAGCAAACCAATTTACTGTAGCCCAAGACAAACGCAGACAGAAGCATGAAGCATATATAAGCATTTATGTTTTCATGTTAAATGAAGCATATAAAAGCATTTATGTTTTCAAAAAGCAAACCAACTTACATAAGTGGTAGCCCTGGCTGCTCTCCAAAATAGCTCCTTGAAGGTTGATCCAATGTAGTTGAGCTTGAAGTTAGCCCAAATATGCCTAACACATAACCTTTGTTCTGCTTTGGGAATAACATCAGCCATTGCTTTAATCAAACCCTACCAAATGCAGACAAAAGCAAAGTCAAAAGCCATACACATGGAAACTTAAAAATTGAACCTAAATACTAAAAAGGGAAACAAAAGCATACCTTCTGCCTATCAGACATGATGGTTAGCCCAGCTCCTTAATCATGTGTGAACATTGCCATAAGGGATTCCATGAACCAACCCCAAGTTTCCTGGTTTTCTATCTCCACTGTAGCCCAAGGTAGGGGAAATAAGTTGTTATTCCCATCCTTAGCCACTGCCACCAGAATTTGCTCAGGAAAGGCACCTTTGAGGTGACAACCATCCAACCCCTATTATTGGCCTACAACCTTTTGTAAAGCCATTTCTCAGTGGCCTTAAACAGATGAACATTCTCATGAACAAGGGTGGCTCTGGGCTATTAATACCATCAACAACAATATTGCACCCAGAACCAGGGTTGTACTTCATCACAGCTTTCCCATAATCCCACACCCTTGCATACTGCTCCCTAGCTGAACCAAATATGATCAGTTTTTCCCTACACCTAGATAACCATGCCTTATAATAACTCACTTCAATTCCTAAATCATTCAAAATCCTAGCCCTAATCTCCTTAATTCTCCAACCTGGGTTACTCCTAAACTCTTCTAAACCTCTCTGCTATATATTCAGCAGTAAGCATCTTGTTCTTCTTCACTCTGAAACAGGTGTAGTCTAATATCAAGGTTTTTATTTGCCAAGTTTGCTGCTTCACCAGTTTTGATGCAAACACCTTGAAATGACACTTTACTCCCCCACACATGTACAAGCAGGCATTCTACAGGTGTAGTTATTGAACTCACATGCACATATATACCTACACTGAATTATAATCCTTTTACCATCATTATGAAAATAGTAGAACTCATACATGTTTTCAATGGCATGAAGTCTTAAGGCCCTCCTTAAGACTGAAGAATTGCTGAATTTCTGATTTAACTTCAACTAGATTGGGTTGTCAAAGTCCACAGCAGCATTAAACCATGGAGCAGAGTCCTCTTCCTCATCAGATCCACACAAACTTCTTGAATCATCTGAATCACCACTAGTCTCTGGATTCACCTTCAGTTTTCCAACATCCAAGTCATCCCTCAACTCTGCCCTCTTATCTATACCAACGCCCATATCTATTTCACTCCCCAAACCTTTCCTAAGGCTCTTGTTCACCTTTTCCAAGATCTCCTTTGACCCTTCAATATACCATTCCTCATCCCCTTCATCATATTCTTCTTCACCAGGTTCCCAATCTTGGCTCTCATCACTCAAATCAGAACTTGAATAACCAGATCCTTCACCTCCATCATCTTCCTCATCATCAAACCTCAAGACTTTAAGCCTTAGCTAAGGCTTTCCCTTTCAACTTCACCTCTGTATTTGCAAAACTAGAAGCTCCTACTTCTGCTACCTTCTCTTTCCCTTTCTTTGTGAGAAATATATCCCTAGGTGGACTCTCCTCCCTATGTTTAGTGTCTACCTTCTTAAACCTAGGGCTCCTCCTAACACTCACAGTAGTTGAACTTCCTACTTTCTTGCCCTTTTTTATTTGTCTTTGGTGGATTGGGTTGGGCCTCCTTTATGGGCTTAGTAGGAGCTTCTGCTGTTACAAAGACTTCAACACACCCCTTTGCATTTACTGTCTCTAAAAGGCCCTTAACCTCTTCAATGTTAACTAGTTCCCTTTTCCCAGTGTTAAAGGTTTTCCCCTTCTGCCTATACCAACACCTGTAATGCATAGGCACGGCTATATCACCACTAACAAAACCATGAATTGCAGCTGTTCTAATCAAATGCACATCCACCTTAGAAACCTGGACTTTCCTCTTCCAGTAACACCAACCACCACACCAACACAGCAGTTGTCTCTCTTTGCTAACTCTTTTAGGGACAAAATCACCTCCCACCCTAAGGTAGATGTCAACCATACTATCATTGTCACCCATTAACTACCATATTAAAAGCCATGTATCAATACATGCACATTACGAATAAACAACACAAGTACCAAACATACCGTATAAAGCTCCAATTCCAACATTCATAAACAATTGAAACCCAATTTAGGTGCTCAGTAACATAAGTTAAATTAATAAACAAATCACACATGCACAATTAAAAAACAATAAACCACTTTTTTAATCTCTAATTGCAATTAAGCACTCCAATTAACCTAAGTCGCATGCATATTCAATTGCAGAAATTGATTTTTTAAGGGTTTTCTACTCTGTTTCCAAAATTGACCCTAATTTAGCCCAATATTGCAATTTTGACATCAATAAAGCACCAGTAACAGACGAAATTGCTATCAAAAGTCAAAAAAACAAAAAATTACCTTCGTTGCTGTCAGATTTCCACCAACTTTGGCCCTTTTTCTAGTCGATGAAGATTGGTGACGAAACACTGCTGACCTAATCTTCACCAATGTTGACAGCTCCCTCCTACACTGCACTCCTCAGCACACAATTTAGGTTACAATGCGAAATCAATGGTGGTTCAGAGAGAATTCAATGAAGATGGTTGGTGAGAATTCAATGAAGGAAGAAGGTTCGTGTTTTGGCGGTTTTGCTGGGTGAAAAGTTGGAGTTAAAACCAAAATTGTGGGACCCACGTCATTTTTCCATCACAGAAACTGTTAACTGGTGGTAACTTCCAATTTTTAAAATTTTTGGTGGTGTTAAAATAAATGTTTTTTTTTGGGGGGTGTTAAAAAACATTTTCAGACATTTGTGTGGTGTTAACTTCCAATTTATCCTTAATTTAGTTTAGAATTAAATTAATTCTTTCTTTTGGCATTTTACAAACTATCCCACATTGAAAGATGATAGGAAATCTAGGGGACATTTCCCTATAAATACCAATCATTGGGTATTGGGATTTTCACTTAAGTTGGTTGATGGGCGTTAGAACGGTCGTACATTCCACACTCAATAAAACACATTTATTAACAAACACCTTACAAACCAAGCATAATGACAAGTAAGAGTTCGGTCCACAAGGAACAGGATATGATTGCCAAAGATCTTTACACTTAAGCTAACTCGAAGTCAATTGGTGAATAGGGGTTCGTCAAGAAGACAAACAAACTATGGTTCTAAATCAATGAATTAAAGATACTAGGGAATGAGATCCACTCAACCAAGGCAAATAGGCAAACGGGGAGTAAAATAGACAAGATATAACAAGGACTATATGTAAAATCAACCTCATGCAATTAGAAAACAACTCACACTACTAAACTTAGATTCCTCATTAGTTTAGCAATAGATGATACATAATCAAATTACAATAAGTAATGACGTACTCAATTTACACTTCCATGTCAAATTAGGCATATCATACTATCAAGCTCCTTAGTCAAGGGTAGCTAAACCTATCATGAGGAACTAACAAGCAATCTCATATAATCAATTTAATTGCAATACAAACATCAATGCTTCTCCCACATTTGCATAGTTAACCCAAAAGGTCGAGCTTCACCCAACCCCTAGCAAGAAAACTACTCACAACTCATGTTTATCAACATGCAATCAAGAATTAGGGTTCTAAATACTTCAATAATTGGGGAAAAGTGGTTAACAATTGAAATAACTATCATCCAATAACAAATTACCAAGAACTAAGAAGATTTAAATAACATGCAAATACCAAATGAAATCTGAAATTAAAAGGAAGAAGGTTGGAGAAATTACTAATTGAAGCTTCAAATGTTGAATACAAATTGCCAAACTTTGAGAATAATTCTTGAATTTAACTAATACAATGATTTGATTTGATGAAAACTAAGCTAAATTAATCCTAAGGAATGTTTCAAACTAAGAGAGATTTCTGAAAACTAGGCTACTGTCTTTCTTCTCCCCTCTTTCTTAAACGATCTCAAAAGGACCTTAAATAGTCCGTACAAAATTGGCTGAGATCGGGAAAAGGTCCGACCGAACTCTGGGTAAGTTCGGTTGGACTCAGGGTAGGTTCGGTCGAACCCTGTGTAGGTTCGGTCGAACCTCCCTGATCCTTGTTTGGTCGAACTTTTGAGGTTCGACCTCTCCTGCAAAATTGCTGAAAACAGGTTTGACACTGCTTTCACTGCACCCTGGAGGTTCGGTCGAACTTTTGAAAAGTTTGACCACACCAAGGTTCGACCGGACCTTTCAGAGGTTCGGCCACACCTCCTCTTGCACTTCCTTTTCTTGCTTCCTCTCCTTCCCTTTTGCTCCTCTTGCCTTTGTCCATGGCTTCCATGCTTGGCCAAGGGGCCTCCCACCGTGCAAAGGACCGTCACGGAACCTGCAGAAGATACTAAAGTTCACGAGAGCATGGGGATGATAAAATAATGCATAAAGATTATCAAAATAAGCATTACTTTTCATCAACACAAAAAGAAGCCATAAGAGGATAATGAGGTGGAAAAACCTAAGAAAAATAAGAGGAAAAAGACCTAAATACTACCCCTAAGAGTGACATAAATGTCACTCATCAAACTCCCCCACGCTAAGCCTTTGCTCGCCCTCGAGCAAAGCAAAGGAAAAAGAACAAGGGAGAAAGAATTAGTTATTCAAACATGCAAGGAACAAAAGAAAAACCGAAATTGCTTTTAGCAAAAGCAACAAGCCATTTAAACCCCAAGGTCGCCGATGAGGACGAGTTGTGATCTCGTGAGGGTTTCCAGAGAGCATACCCCACAACTCTTACAAAATTGCGTTCAAGACAAACCAAAAACAAGGGAAAGAGAAACAACAAATCCAACACAAATCATAGCCAAATCGAGCTTTTGGAGATAACAAACATGAATGAGTGTCAAACTTTCTGAGTAGTAGAAGTGAGCATGCAAGGGGATGCCAAAAGTTGATTGAAGGATAAGTTATGCTAAGCATAGAGAACTCAAACATGCACCACTCCCCCCCGCATTCCATAAAATCTTACCGCGTTCCCTCATCTAGATTCAAATCCGCCCTTGGAGATAGCATCAAGTGACTCCTCGAAGGAGCCGGAACAAAGATAAAACACTGCAAAATAGGGGAACCCGACATCTCACCAAGTCATGCCTTCTCCATATGCTTGAGTTCCAGCTCCCTCCACCGATTAGTGACTCAACCAACCTAGGTCA